TGGAGACACGTGAATTGCGACCGAAATGACAACGGTGGCAACAGATGCCAAATGAGTTGGGTTGGTGGCTCAATCGGCAGGTGAATCGGCAGCCACCACCCACCACCGGTAGGTGGCGCTGCTGCTGCTCTGCAGTGGACAATTTTAATGGGAAATGAATTTAATTGATTTTCGCGTGGCATTTTGTTATTACAACCTAAATGAGATTTCCGTCTCTGAACAAATAATTGTGCTTGTGTTCAATGAGTTTCAAATATTAAAAAATTGATGTGCTTAAATTGGATTGGGTGAGAAAAAAAGCACACACCTTTGTTTTGATTGAAAAGAAAAATGTTGAACTTAAAGCAACAAAAATACTGTGCAGGTGCAGATACTTATTTTTAAAAACTTTATGATGAATAGGATACTTTAATATTTTATATTTGCTTTTACTATTTGATTTGAATTAATTATTATATTTTATTGTAATTTACCTTTTTTTATTTAAATATATTTTTTTTTCTTTTGGGAGTGAAAGTGGGCTTTAAGGACCATCTCCCCAAACCAGAAATTCAACGGCAATTTCAGAATGGGCGTGGTGTGGAAAAGCAGCCATCTACATTTCCGTGTTTCGCTTATTTGTTCAAACAGATGTTGCAGTTATAACCAGTTGCCGTTGTTGTTGGCCCCGTTATTTGTTTCAATGTGGTCGCCATTGGTTTGGGTTTAGTTTTTGTTGCGAAATGTTTATTTCGGCAAAAGGTTCTGGTGGCATAGATTGGTGTCCAATTTGGTCCAAGACTGTTCCACGTTAAATTGACGGGGCGTGGATCCCTAACCGCAGAAAATATTTAAAAATTTACGTATGTATATTTAGATAAAAAAACTTTTGCACAATTTAAATGGGCATTATTAAATTTAAGCTATGAAATTAAATATTTTGTTATGTGAGAAAAAAGAGGTATCCTTAATCAAAAAATTAGTCAACATTTTTTCTAAAATATTTATTAATTCCGCGGAGGAAAATATTGTTGAAAGTGTAGATTTTTAGGTTTAAAATTTTTGTTATAATTTGTACGGAAAAACAGGGACTAGGCGAGTTCAGATTTCGGGTAAAAGATTCACCTTTTAAATGCAAATAAATGAACATATGCAAAACTCTACACCGAGAAAAAAAACCGTTCTCATCGATGTTGATTTTAGTATTTTCGATCACAAAACCTAGCCGAGATCGAAAATACTAAAATCAACATCGATGTCATCTCGGTTTTGAGAATGGTTTTTGAGTATGTGTGCTATCGATATCGAGATGACGTCTTCTCGGTTTCAACATCGAATCGATGTCGATTTTAAGATACAAATTGAATAAGAAGAAGAAAAAAAAATAATTGAGGAATCGGGAATTTTGCCTCTTGCACCCCCTCCTGTCCCCGTCGGTGTTGTTGTTGGTTCCCCCCGTTTCTCAACTTATTTTTCTTTCCTTTATTTAATTACATGGATGACGTCACACTATACTATGTTCGTATATAAGAACACATTTAGTTTCAAATTTTAACTGAAACAATAACTGAAATTATTATATAATTAACAAATGATAAATATAAAATTCAAATAACTTACTATCTTGGGAAAAACACCTTTGGTCGGTCGTGGGAATCGAACCCGTTGCCTCACAGTTTGCAGTCAAACACTCTACCAGCTGCGCCATGGAAGCATCACATGAGGCGCTGTACAAAGTTTAATCACATTTTGTTCTCTTGGGTTCTTGGTTTTTACTCTTATTAAGCCATTTATGTGTGTTAGATTAACAAAATCCTAATTTGTATTAAATATAAATATTAATGAGTAAAAAAAAAAAAAACGCGAAGAATTTCCGCCTTGACGCGGGACTGAACACACACTTCCGACTATACGCTTACAAAACATATAATCCGCACGCTTTAGTCCCCTAGGCTACCGATATCATGAAGCATGACTGCCCGATAGCTACAAGAGAGGAATTCGGCCTCTCCGCCCTTTTCCTCTCATTTTTTCGATGTCTTTTCCTCACGTCCCTCTTCCACAACATAAAAACTGAGATTGACTTTGACTGGGAATACTAGAATCAACACTGCTTTCATCTTGATATCAAGAAGAAAAAAGTGAGAATACGAATACTAAAATCAAGATCGGTCGATGTTGATTTTTTTCGTTCTCAATTTTTCTGGGTGTATGTAATTAAAATCTAACAATTTGGAATAAATGAACAGCAAACCACGGGAACCTCGCCACTGCCAGAAGTGGTTTATGCAGCGTCAAATGGGCTGGTATCAGTGTTAAATTTCGACGGCCACCGCAGCCTATTTATAAACATTTACCCCAATTTAACGCACATCCTACGAGGCGAGGGATACAGATGGATATACTATATACGAATAAGTGTGTGCGGAACGGGAAGGCTATTGGCATTTTGGCCAGGGGCTGCACATCCGGTTGTGGTGCACCACAAACGCTGCGGCTGCTCGCTAGGCACGCGAGTTTCGGCCACGCCCCTGGCTTAACCACTGGATTGTCTTTGTTGCCGGTCGGGATCACCATCACCGACACCGAATATGAAAAGGACAAAAATGTCAATGACCACGGGCAATCACATTTATCAGACCATCAAAACCTTCTTTTTTACCGGCACTCCGGCTTCCCGTTGTTTGTTTCGAAATTAAAAGTCGGTTAATCCCGTCGAAAAAAGCGTTTATGCGTCACTTAAATCAGTTCGGCGTGCTTAAAAAGTTAATACAAAGAAATATTTACGTCAGACAGTGAAGGTCGTAAATATACTCCCACCCAAGCGATTTATTCTCTTCAATCTCGCTGTTCATGTAACTTTTTTAATTGGGTGTATGTTAAGCTGGGAAAATGGCAATGAATGGGTTAAAAATAAATATGCCAAAAATTGCTTACAAAATAAATCGAAAATTCTACTCGTTTGACGATGTTCCAAATTTTTAATACGGATATAATTCAAATAGCTTTACATTATCTATTTATTTTACTAAAATCAGTAACTCAAATGATATTTATTAGTTTACCAGTGAACATCCTTTTTATCCCAACAATTTTTTTTATCTCACTGTAGTTTAATACTTAAAAGTTTTTAAATGACAAGGATTATAATTATTCTATTCTTATTTAAACAAAATTCCAACTGTCACACGTGACGTATGAGTAATTTTTAGAAAACTTAAGGACTACTTAACTACAAATACATTCTCCTGGCTTATAAATTTAATTGTTCTTTACCAAAATGTACCACGTTTAAGTGTGAGAGTAAGATTATATTTTTTGGGCCACCCTAAAGTTCACTTAAACCATTTTGTTACGAATATTACGTTTTCCACAGTTTTATCAGGCTCTCTGGTGGCTACAAAAAGACAATCGGCGCATTAAAAGCAACCAAATACATTGCACAATGAAAACAACAGCAGAAGAGCCTGCAAGTTTTGTGTGCTCTGAGTACTATGAAAATTCAATTACTTTATTTTGCCTGTATCCTCATCCGATTTTCGCCACTCGCCCATATGTTTGTTCGCCATCTACCGGCCACAAAACAAACACACGCCCACCCACTTCTGCCTCACCACACATACGAACGCACACACAAACGCGCTCCACCTGTCAGTTACTCTAAACACCAAACATTTTCCAACCTTTTTTTCTTCTGCACGCCCGCGAAATTACATAGAATTTTCACCCGCTGCCAAAAGAAATGGCAAAGAGAGCATTTGAAAGAGGGAGAAACAGAAAACAAAAAACAAAATTTAGGGGAAAGAATACCCTTCCCTGGCCCATTTCGCAACTTGTGCCCATTGCACACATTTGCGGCTCTTCGCATGAGCGCGCAACTTTACTTGCCAAAAACTCCCAAGAACACACCGAATTTTTTGTTAGTCTCCTTTTTTTCCAGGGGTTTGCTCTTCCTTGGTCCATTTCTATGCTGGCTTGCTTTTAGCTGGAAATCTTCTTTTTTTGTGGACCAGGTTATCTGCGAGCTGGAGTGCGAATGAGTGGGCCAAAACAGATGTTGGAGATGGGAGCGTGAGAAAAGGTATATGAAGTGTCTAAGAACCAATAACAATCGACTTATCGTAGGCTCGAAATAAGTTTTTCTTAATTATTAACAAAGAATAGAGGATGCATTTCTTCGATATTATAAACGGGAAAAACACATTTTTATGGTTCATCTTATATAAGTATTTAATCTGATTTAATTAAGTGACCTTAATTTAATAAATTAGTTTTAAGGAATTTACCCAGCATTGCAGAACTTAAAAATTTATACACATTAAAACTAAATAAAATCACTAAGGATTACAATGCCATCCCTAATTGAGGATTAGTTTTGGGTCCTGTATCTCCTTTTTTGCTGCATGGCTGCGGGTTTTTCGGCAAGACAAATGCATTTGTGAGCATAGGCAAGAAACACGGTCTCTCTGTATGTGCTTTTTAGCTTTTAGTTAAATAGAACTCTATTCGAAGTCTGCGAGTTTACTTTTGGATCGCAGTTTGCCCAAGTTCCTGGCACTCGGACTGATTGGCAACATGTCAGTAGTCGCTGAGGCTTCGGTGGCAAAGATAGATATTGGAAAATCGCTTCGACTTGGTGGAGAATTGGCTTAACTAATTGCATTTGAACGGGGCAAACTTGAAGTTTTCGATTTCACTCGAGGATTGACACATCTTCATGACGCACTCATTGTAGAAGTCATGTACTGGGCACTTGGCCTTTTCTGTTTACTGTTGTTGGTCGAAGGAAACAATGAAAATAAAAGTGAGTGAAGAAAAAGCCTTGTCGCTAAATGAAGAATTATGATAGAACTACAGTTTTAAAAAATCTGGCATGTATGCCTTATATATAAATAAGTCATTAATTACGTCTACCAATAGTGAATAATTACAAATATCAAACTGGGCTAAAATTGCATGAGTATAAGCAAGTGTTGGGAAAGTCATAGTTCAAAAAATTTTAATATATCTTTTTTTATTTTAATTTTTATAATTACTTTCTTTTAGTGAAGTGCAGGAAACGTTACAGCATTGATTGCCAACTAAAGAAACTAAAATGGTTTTACAATCCTCAAGTTGCTACGTGTTTGCAGAGACTCACTTGCCGATACGGTTTTGATTATCGAACTGAATGCGAACGCCATTGTCTTAACCCAAAGAAAATAGGAGCATCAGAACCATCTAAGACGCTTGAGCAAATAATGAAAATATTGGAGCAGCTTAACAAAAAACATACGGCTAAGACGTTTAAGCCAACGAAACCTCCAAGGACTACAACACCGAAAATAAAAGCTACACCAGTTACAACACCGTCTGCTTCAGCACCTCCAATTACAACGCCTTCTGCTACAGCACCACCAGTTACAACACCAACAATTACAACTCAAAGTGTTACTGTTACGGATGACTATCTGTTCGCTACTGTGACTCCAAAGGAACTTACTATAGAGGATCCTACAAAGAAGAACGAGGTTGATAACAAACCTAAGAACCCGCCAGGCAATATAAATGAACCAGTAAAATTTTGGGGTCAACCCGCAAAATCCTCGGACTAAAATTCTGTAAAATATTAAAGGGAACATTTGTAAAAAACATTTTTTTAATGAAATTCAGCTTTTTATTGAGAATTATTACCGGCATTTTTGTTTTAAAAAATAGTTTATGTGAAATAACTCTTTCAATTCTTGAATTTTGAGATAGACAGAGATCGAAAGGATAATAGGAAAAAAGATTTCATATTAAATTTTAAAATTCTAAACATTTGTAATGTATAGCCTTTCAGTTATTCTCTGTTTCTGTTTTTTGCGCAAAAAGTTCCCTTTGCATATATTGCAAAAGAATCTACAAAATAAGTTCTTTTCTTATTGTGAAGAGCCACAAAACTTAATTATGAAGCATTTATAGCGTGAAATAAACCTCCTGTTGCCTCTCAGGATAATTACGGAACACGAAACAACAACATTAAAGGGAAGAGGGACAAAACAACAAAAAAAAATGTCACCCAACAACAACAAATAACCGCAACTACTTAGCAACATTATACACTTCCGTGCCAGCATCAGGATCTGAAAAACCCACCCAAAACGTAATTATTGTTGCGGTAAATGCCAAACCCCCATTGCCACGCCCCCACACCCCGCCCTCGACCTGCTCGACCACAGACCAGGCTTTTTAATTTCTTTATACAAAAAAAAAATAAGTAAGCGAAAAGCGGCCACTTTTCGACTCAAAAATACCCTATATGGTTATCCTTTTAAAATTTGAATCAAATTATGATGGCTAAAAACGTATGCTTTAAAGATTGGTATATTAAAAAAAAACATTCCATTGGATGTTCATATTTTAATTGTCTAAAAATAATATAAATAATTATTTATGGATTTGCATTTAAGATACTAACTAAAAAACGGCGTAAAGCATTTACTGATAACTTTAAAATATGAATAAATTTATTATTAGTTATTAAAATAATGAAATCCCAAATTCGATAAATTTTAAAAAAGTTTTAAAGCTTAAAGCTTTAAACAAAAAGCTAATAAAATTACAATTTCAGTTAATCTTAAATATATCAACTTTTTAATAAAATCAAAAACCAAAAGTTTTCGATTTTGTAAATCCCATATACCCCCAGAGTAAGCAGTACAAAAAGAGAGTCGGAAAGACAAACGGACTGAGTGGGTGCTACAGAGTGGGTGCGAAAGAGAGGTGTGTATGTCAGCGTGCCGCGAAAATTAATCCATTTGCTGTGACAATGACTTTTATGCGGTTTCCAGCAACGCGACGGTGGCCGCCGCCATCCGGAATCGCCATCGCCGGCCAGGAAGCCACTACGCCCAGTTGGCCAGTCGGCAAAGTCAAGCCGCAGGCCGAATGCGGGCACAGGGTGAAAACTTGGTGGCAAAGTGGGAAATAGGCAAAGGAAAAGCCTGGAAAAAAATCAGCTCGGGTGCTCCACAATGCTGCGCGACATGTAAATATTTGGCGACATTTATAAAAAATGTTTTCGGACAGCCCCGAGCTCTCTTCTTCTCGACCGAGCGCGAAGCCTTATCAAAGCAATTATCTCTAAGATGCCTCGTCGTCGACCTGCCCCGCCCCATGCACTCCTACTAACAGCTATATTGCACAGTGGGGCAAACAAGTTTGAATTTTAAATTAAAAATTCATATTTTGATTTAAAGTAAATTTTTAAAAGGTACTTTGCTTTCCTACAAATGGTTTTTGTTTTCTAAAATGTAATATTTAAGTATTAAATCTCAATATAAATATTTTACAATAATAAAAAAATCTCTTTAAAATGAAATTAATTCTTTTTCGAAAATAATCTTATTTCAGCTGTGCTTTTTTTTAATAATAAAAATATAAATGGATACGCTTACCCTTTGACCACTGTAAATCGCTGACAATGGCAGTGACCGTCGTCTGCTTTTGTGAATCCGACCCTCCGTTCGCCGCTGCCTTTGTTTGATTTGGAACAGTAACGGAGACAAAGTACATAACATTTCTCTTGATTTGCTCTATCTCTTTCCCGGGCCACCATTTTTGCGGCGGCTTTGGCAAATGCCGAAAATTGTCAAATGTTGCGGTCAATTTGTGGGGTCAACGTGGATGTGGCAGAGGAAGTGGAGCGAAGCGAGGTTATTTAATAGCGGTTGGGGAAAAACCCGGGAAATCGAAATCCTTCCTTTTGGCGATAATTCGAACTACGCTTGAATTGAGTGGCTAGTTAATCAAGGTGAAAAGCGAGGTGAATTGAGCTTAATTTATAGGATTACATGAAGATACATAAAGCGACATCCAATTTTGATACTTATCGCATTTATTGGCAGACTTAAGATTTAAACAAGATCTTTTAAATTCCTTTGACTTAAAGTACAGCAGATTATTTACATGAGCAAGGGGTTGTAAAATATCATAGATCAGCCGAAGATGTTTTGCTTGATGGCAGCCCAAATTCCCTGACCCCGTTTCGGGGTCAACTCATTTTCAATTTCCTTGTTGTACTGTTCCCTGAGCAGCGGATCCATGGGTCCCCAATTCTTCTTAGGGGTAAAGGCTCCACGGATCTTGGCACCCAGTGTTTTACCAGGATCTCGAATAATGGCCACAATCATCCAAATGGGCAGTTGGAGGATACCAAAGGCGGTGATCATCCAACCAATGCCTGTAAATAAAGAGTTATTAGTAATGGATTCTTTAAATATACCGACAAAAAACCTACTGTATGCCCAATTGGGGTAGATAATATTATTATAGGTCAGCGGTTCGTAGGTCGCATAGAAGTAAATCAGAATAACCGTCATGATCAGCGGGGTAATGATGCTCCAGCAGAGTCGCCAGTAGAGACCCACTTTGCGATTCAGCATGAACTCAATGTCCTTGCACAGACGATCTGTGCCGTAGATCCATCCAATGGTGTAGAGCTCGGCAATGCCCAGAACCAAGGCAATCATAGAGGCGCCGAAAAAGTCCACCAAAGTCAGCATATATTGGCCGCCCTGGAATATTACAAAATATTATTAATAAATAAATATAAAAAATATTAAATACATATTAAATCCAACTCACCGGCGTTATGTACATCAGACCGATCAAAAAGCTGACCACCGCTATGAGCAGCGAGCACTGCCACTGCTTGAAGTTCGGGAACCGATCCCGAATGGCGGTCACCGAGCAGGAAGTCATGGCAATATTCGATCCTATGCCCAAAACGAAGAGCATCAGGAAGAAGAGGACCGAGAAGATCTGTGGAAGCTGTTTGAACTTGGCAATGGCATCGGGATACGAGATGAAGGCCAGTCCAGCACCTCCCTTCACCACCGAACCAATGTCATCGGTTCCGATCTCATGGGCCAAATGTCCGAGGATCCCAAAAATCGTAAAGCCCGCTAGCAGAGAGGTCATTGTATCCAAACCCGTAACAATGGCAGCATCCCGATGAACATTATGGCCGAACTTGTTGAACGAGGAGTACATGATGATGTTGCCAAAACAAACGGAGAGGGAGTAGAAGCACTGGGTTACGGCCGCATACCAGACCTTCGGGTCCAGAATCTTGCCCCACTGCGGCTTTATAAAGTAGTAAATCCCATCGATTGAGCCGGGGAGGGTTACGGCTCGCACCAAAAGGACACCCATGATGACGTACGGGAAGAGGGCCAGGAAGTAGGACGCCTTGCCCGAACTCTTGACTCCGCGACGGATGATGAAGAACACACAGGCCCAGGCCACGAAAAGTCCAACGACCAGCTCCCAATTGGGCAGGCCAATTCCATTTTCGATATTCGGTGTCTCGTGGAGGACTTCCTTACTAGAGATTGGAAGGGATATTGTCTAGTTAGCAGAGATATTACTGGGCATAGACCACCACCAATTAATAACATTTAGACAAAACCATCACCCGTTTGCTTATTCATGCGGCTGCGACACTTTTCTTAAAGTTCACCAATTGACTGTAATAAAAAAATTGAAAAGAAATATCTGTAAAATTTTTTTTTAATTTGTATATCATATTAATGTTAGTGATTAATTTAATAGATATTTCAGATATGGTAGAAAATATTAGATATGAAAAAAAGAAATTTAAAATTTCCTAATCCATAATTGTTAAATTTAATATTTCTATAATATTTAAATTTGTATATCATATTAAAAGTTAAAGATTTAGTTTGAAAATATTTTAGAAAAAGTGATGGTAAGGTATACGAAATAATAAATAAAAGAAATACAAATAATTGTTATATTTAAGTCTAATTAAAATTGGAATAGATGAAAATCTAAGCAAAAATAAATGGAATTTGAAACTAATGGATATATTTACTAAATTTTTGTTTGAATGTAAATATGGATACATTTAAAAAATGTAAATTTAATACTAGCTTGAAGCTTAGCAGTTTGTAAAAGCGAAAAATCCCCCTTAGTTATCTTACAATAAATTTTCCTATTCAATTTTCCTAGAACTCGACATTAGTCATAAGTACAGTCAGATAGGGAACTTTCCAGTAAGCATCACAACCGCATTTGTCCCCAGACACATAGCACTTACACAAAGTACCATTCCGAACTGGTGATGACCCGATCGTTTTCTGATTTCATTGTGTAATTTTGAGTTCGCCGATCATCGCTACTCTCCACCTGGGACCAATTATTCGCATTCGGTGCCGAGTTAATGCAGTTAATACCCCACTCCGCCTGGCATTCGGCCCAGGGCAATGGGTTGCGGAATGATTCAATGAAATATCGGCCAATTATCGCTACCAGGGCGGCATAGTAAGTGCTGAGCATAAACACCTGGAACGCCTGGCCGGCTCCAACACCTTTTTCCATTCGATTTACATATGAGTTACGGAAAGAAAGAGTTTAAACACAAATCAAATGGAGGATAGGAAAGATAGTTGTGAGGGCATGCGATTCTGGGATGATAGGGGAAAAGAAGGTCTGAAACATATAGTATAGAAGTTAGTGATAAGCCATTATGGGATTTGTAGGGAATAAATATCTATAAGTTTTGCAGGGCCAAGGATTTTCTTGATATTATTTAAGTAGGTTGACAATTTCTTATAATTATGATATTTATGGGGGTATTTTTGGAATTACTAAGTCATTAAGCAAATCTATTAAAATCTTGAGAGTCAGCGGAGTCACTAAAAAGTTACGTGTGATTTAAAATAGATTTTATAAATACTATAAAAATATTTAAAAATTTTTGTATAAATTTGGCACTTATTTTCCATTTAAGGATATTTAATTTGCAATTGAAATTCGAGTCAAATATTTTCTATAATAATTTAAGTTTAGGTCAAGGCCGAATATTGTTGTGATTGAGTGATTCAATCCATTTTCTCTTTTCAAAATTGGCTGCAGATATTGACGCCTGTGATGGCTGTCAATTGAAATGGAATCACTTTCTGTTTGGCTGTTGCAATCGCATCGCTCTATTGCAGCGCCACTCTATAGCAGAGCCCACAATTGATGGCAATGGGCCAATGGGCGCCATAATTGCCGGCAGAGGGATGCGGGTACTCATTCAATTAGCCGCGTAATAAAGCGGACATTCCGCGCCTTTGTCGGCCGTGGCCATAAACTTGAGTACGCTGTGATTTCGAGCTCCGCGATAAGATTACCCACACAGTAAAGTGCAATCACAATGTCACCCACACACATAACACCACCGACTAGCGAATAACATGCCGCTGCAACACCACTGAAACCAGTCCACAATTCAACACAATGGAGGACGAGAACAAACCACTTACAGAAAGTACAACTCGGCGGATGCCACGGGCTGCAACCCTCCATGCTCCATGTCCCCGGAAATGGGATTGGTATTGGAAGTACTACCTCCCAACTGAGAGGTGTTGCCTAGACTGGAGGCCACGCAGTAGGATTGCCACTCCGGGCGGCACTCGGACCAGGGCAACGGTGACCGGAACGAGTCGTACAGATAGCGCAGGGTTATGCCCATTATGGCCACATAGTAGGTGGTCACCATGGATATAGATATCACCTGGCCGATTCCGACACCTACGGAGATGCGGTCGCGTTTTCGGGACACGGCAGGCGGGTTGATGAACAGAATGACGATGTAGTTTTTTGAGCAGTTCGCTGTTGTCATGCTCTTTATTTTATAGAAAGTTATGATAGATTCCTATTTACATTCAAAAGGATATCAATACAGCAACGAACCACAAATATAAAATATAAAAATATATATTTCTCTAGTATATTCATACCTACATTTTGAAAACTTAAAAAAATATTGAGTATTTAAATTAAGACGTGAAATCTCCACATTAGTTTTCCATATTTTTATAAAATATACTGTAAAACGTATTTCAAAAAGTAAAATTTATTGGGTGATTATGGCTTTAAGAAAAAAAAACAATATTGACAACTTTTAAAATTTGTGTAAATTTAATAAAGTAATTTGTGTTTATTCAAATTAAAAAAATAAAAATCCTAATCTTAGCTTTCTATTCTTTTTTATATTTTTTAAAGTGAATTCGATTTTATTTCATAATTAGGTAAGTTTCTATTGGTGGATTATTGCTTTTATGACACCTTTTAAATGCTTTTAATTTTTTTGCAGTAACTTCTGCTATTTCTAGACCATTTTAAATATTTTTTTTGATATTTTTTACATTTTTAATTTTATTTTTAAATTAATAATTTTTAGTCCAGAAGAGCATTACAACTTCGAACCGATCGCGGTGATATAATGGGGCACTTACCTTTCATGGCAGGGCACAAATCGAACACCTTCACCGAGCCGCGACTGGAAAACTGTCCAATTACCATTTCCAGATAGTAAATCGGTTTGCCAATCAGGAACAGGACAATGAGATATGGAATGAGGAAGGCGCCGCCGCCATTATCCAAAGCGGTGAAGGGGAATCGCCACACGTTTCCGAGGCCCACGGACATGGCGATGCAGGACATGAGGAACTCCACGCCCTTGCCCCAGGTGGCCCGCTCTTCGGGCACTTTTCCGCCTGCCTCCTGGTCATCGGAATTATCTCGCAGGGCAGGATTGCTGGCCTGTGGAACGAACGAGCGAACGATGATTAGTTGGCTCATGGATTATGTGGAAAGCGCTTGCAGGATATTAGCCTACCGAAATCTCCACTGTGCTGGCCGTACTGCGTCCATCGTCGCCTACGAAGGCGGGATTCTGGTGGTTCCTTTGTGACGATTCCATATTTGGGCGGTCAGTGAAAAGCCAGCTGAAATTATTCGTTCTGTTAGCAGCGAGCAGTGGACCTGAACTAAGTGAAGGCTCTTTTCGGTGGGCTCTTTGTTGAAGCTGCCGTATAACTGACAATCAGACTAACCCCACTGATCTCGAAGATAAGGAATGATGTCACTGTCACGAGCCAGATAAACATAGATGGTTTAGATACAGATACAGAGAGAGGGTCGCTGCATTGCTCTTTAGATACTGAAATTATGGCACCTGTCTGGCCTTGATAAGGTCTTTAAAAAGTTAATCCCCTGGAAAGTTTACAAATTGTATAAAAGTCTTTTTAAAATTAACGTTTGGAGAACCTTTTCTTCGGTTTTAATATAGATTTAACAATTTATTTCATTGATTGATTTTACAGTTGTGATAAAATATCCTGTAAATCAAACAACAAAATATTTATCAACCTTGTCTGTAAATTTACTTAGAAATTTCTTTCCTTGAGTAGATAATAAATAAATAAATATTTATAAGGTCTAAGGCATCCGCTCAAGCTTGTGCCATTATTTGTGTGAACTAAAGATAAAGACTTTTATTTGCTGAATCATTTAAACAATTTACACCTTGTTGGATTTACTGCGCCAAGCTGTTAATTGGTGTGGGTGATAAAGCTGCTAAGCGTGAGTGATATATAAATTTATATTTCACATTTGTTTGGCCACATTCGCATTCGCACACAAATTATACACATAGTTGATTTGGTTGACTTGGCGAACCGGTTGACAGTAGGGTGAAATATTGACACGTCTTGTTTGCATTTATGCAAAATTATTAATTTGCTGTAAGGCAGCACGTTTTTCGATCGCAATTCGGCCTGTCAATTAATTTGCGTTTTATTGTCTAAAACATTATTGTTTAATTCGCCAGAAAATTTCTTTAAATATTTAGGTGTGTGCTTCGATTAAGTTGTTCAATATACATTTTGTCAAATCAATAAAATAGTTTTCAATTACTTAAGAAATTTTTGTACCAAACCTTTGTTGGTAAATTGGAAATACATGTTGCTTTCACAATAACAAGTAGAATAAAATTATAGACAGAATGATGAGTTACATTAAGATAACAGAATTTTTACGGCTCAAAGTGTCTTTTATAATTGGCAACAGTGGGAAAAGTTACCTAATTCTAAAAATACCACAAACTGACATCGTAAGATAATGAAGATAACAGTTACATCTGAGTAATAAGAGTTACAGTACCTATAAAGTTCCCATATCTGCTTGAACTATACTCTTTGTATACCCTTTGAATGCCTGGAATAATTATAATTATTTATGATTGACGTCTAAATCCGCAATAAAACATTTGCATATATATATATTTTTTTTTGTGCTCATTATCAAACTGGTTTTGAATTCTGCTTAAAAATATTCTGTTTTCGATGGCAGACAAAAAAGTGATTTCCCCGCCAGATGAGTCAGAGCATCAGAACTCTATTATTTTGCCTTTATCTGACTTCTTTCAGCAAAACATAGAGAATGGTCGAAATGACGTCATTAATATCAGAGAGCCGTGTTGAGTTGAAAGCAGTTATTTCTGGTTTCATCTTAATTTAAGAGATCTTAAGACAAAATGCTTGAAGGAATGGAAAACAAACAGCTCAATGTTTTGCTTATTTTCCTTAGCTAAAGCTAGTATTGCATATTATTTATTTGTTATTATTTTTGTGCTAGCAAACAGTTTGACGCCCATATTCAAACGAATGATGGTATAAAATAAATTAAAATTCACTTAGTTTGGATCCCAAACACTTCAATCGACTACGTCAGGGCATTAGCATGCAAAAACGTGTTTTCATATGGGCAACTTGTTGCGCTCACTGCCAAAACAAACGGACGGTAACGATCGATAGACGAATCACCATTGAATATGTATATGCATTCAGTGTTATGATTTTGTTACCCACGTTGCGTATACGTCATTATTGAACGTGGTGGTAACGGTGGAAAAGGTCAAACAAAGTGGTACAAAAATATTATGAACAAACAATCCAGCATATTGTCAGAAAGTAGCATTACATAAATAACGACACGAAATGATAGATAATTTAATTGTATAATAAATATTATTCATTGTAAGTACGCAATATTAAAACAAATACATGTACTAACACGTATTTGATCATTTAATATGAGTTCGTTATATCACACTGATTTATACGTGTTTATAGACTATTTTTATTATTTAAGTCCAAACTTGAATTTTTTTTTGTAAACCCCGAACTTATTATGTTTGTGTTTTTTTTTTGTCTAGAGCCCAAATCTTATAGACACGAAACGTTTCCTTGAACTGTCTTACCCGGTTTTGTTTTTGCGGCTTCTTATCCCCGATATTCTTAGTTAAACACCTTCACTTCGGCTTAATTCAATTCACTAGGCGACAATTGAGGTTATTTTATGCTGATTGGCAGCTGTTGTTGTTGGTAGTTAAATGTTGTTAATGTAGGTAAGTACCAGGCGGCTTTAACTGCTTTGAACCGGCTGAAGTTGTAGTTGTTCAATTAAAACTCTTTTGCCCAAAGCAAGGTTTTGTATATTTTACAAATGTTAAAAGTACTTTTTGTTATAATGCCATTGTTTTGGTGACTCTACGGTTTTGTACACATACGATTTTGAATTCGAGAGGGTCGCATCCGAGAAACCCGTTATTATTGCAAGAGCCTTTTTGCCGCGAAACGCGTTTCCCGATCGATCACGCGAGTTAGGAAGCCGAAAAAGCCAAGCCGAGTGCCAGCAGCCAACTGAATGAGCCGGGGCAAGGTTTCGATGGTTTTATTGTGAACTTGACTCTAGAGCCGTAGTTGTTTCAGCCCAGCCATCGTTATTGCCAGTTTATATAGGTGAAAGCTTAGCCCACAGCTTTGAGCCAACTGGGCTCTGGTCTTGGCTAACTGATCTTCGACTTTACTAAGTGATCGTTTCTACTTTATGTCTTGGACGTGTAAAATACATATTTGTGTACATATTTAAGTAATGGGTAGGCAATAAATTTATTTTAATATTTAAATAATTAAAATTGGATTTATTTGGACGAAAATATTATTTTACATTATTTTAAAAATAAATATATTTTAATGCCCACAGAAATTTTCACATTTTTTATTATATTAATTAATCTTATTATAATAAATAAATTAAATAAAAGTTATGTAAAGTAAAGTAATGTATAAATAAATTAATTAATTCAGTGTACAAAAATATATATTATACCATCAAATTCCACCGTCTGTTCGATCATTATTTATTACGATCCAAGTTGTAAATGTTTATATTTCTCCTTTTTTAAAGTGGTCTCAATGTCAGATCCAGCTCAGAAAATGCCGTCTTTAAGCGCCGGACTGTAACTGTAGCTTTCTTCGAGCCCTTGGGCTATGCACTTACACTTTTCTCATTACGCACACCAAAATACACACATAGAGCCATTGTTCCCATTCGGAAAGTGGGAGATCCGGGGGCCAGGAGCTAAGCAAAACAACACAAATTGTTATGATAAAAGTTTTTATCAAGTTTCGCTTCGTTTTTGTGTGTCGTCATCGTCTTGGTCTTGGTCTTGGTCCTGCCAGCCGTTGATTTTCCCCATAAGATAGGAAAAGCGAAGGAACTCTGCGTTGGCTAGCTGGGAAAATGCATAAAACAAAGCCCCCAGGGCATTTTGGTCCGAGAACGTGGTGTGTGTGTATATGGATGGGGTGGTGGTTTGTCTCATAAAATGTTAACTACTTGCAAAAATACTGCTAACTGGTAAAACTTTAAGCCAAAAATCATTAAGTCTGCAAAGAGCATTTTGAGCGAGACGATGGACCAGAAGAAGAAGGGATTGGGGAAAAGAAGTTAGCTTGTTTTATGCTAGAAAATTGGTTGCATGGCCATTTTGCGGTTCACTCCGAGCCACCGAGGGATTTTCCACACACTTTCCACACGCCCTTCTCCAAATGCAGTGGCTCTCGGTTTTTGTCATTATGACTGGGACCTTGGGGGTGACAAAACTGGATCAACTGGCCAAACTGTCCACTGGTCCACTCGGAGCACAGCCAAATGGACGTCGCTATGTGTGATCTCTCCCCCAATCTCCCTCTCTCTGGTGCACAACTTTTTAATTGCAATTAAAAACTAAGCAAAAGTCTTGGCTAAGAAATTGTTGAGTCTCTGGCTTTCGGTTGCTGTTGTTGTTTCCAAATTAAATGACGGTAGCTGAGACCGAAAAACTTACAGATTGCTATTTTTACTTTAACTATTTTTTAAATATTGCAACGCCAGAAAAAGTTTGGGTCTAAAAAGGGAACTAGAAAGGCCAGTGCACGAAATATTTTTTAAGTAAATTTATTTTTAATTTTCTAACGAGCTTCTGAGTTGAAAATATTAATAAATAAAGTTTTAAAAGAAATAAAAACGAAAGTCCAATGAAATATAGTTCGTCGTGAAAATATTGAGCTTCATAGCTCAAGGAGTTTGTAAAAAATTCCTTATAAATTTCCATTTAATCCTAAAAATATTCATTTTACCTAATTTTTGGAATACAGCATTGCAAAAAATTCCTAAATTAATTACAGTATATTTTTGTAAGACTGACGTGATAAAAAATATCATAAGGCATAATAGCAAAATTTCATTATACACCCAGCATGTAAAAGCAGATCCCTTTTGATCCCCCTTGTGGCAAACGTTTAGCCCCCAAAGGAGATGAAAAAGTTTCGTTAACAATTTTTCGACACTTTTGAATGCATTTTCTCTTGGGCCGCCGCCGCCTCGACTGGTTAACTTTCTTTTGCCAGCAGAAGCTGCAGTGGGATGTCTAGTATTCAGGATTCAGGAGCTAGGATCCTGAATCCAGGATATCCATGTCCGACCGCCTCAAAGGCTCCTTTCGGCTTTTGTGGCCAGGCCAGAAATCATTTCAGTCCTCTTCTCTATTTCCATTCCCAACTCTGACTCGACTCGACTGCTGGCTACTCACATGTTATGTGCAAGGTAATCTCCTTTATTACTGCGGCAACTTTTCCGAGGCGATGGGCAGGAGACGGGGGTGTCGGGCATAAAGCAGGATTTTCAGAAGCTCCTCGCCATCGCCATCGTTGTCGTTTACAACTTTTGCATAACAGGCAATGGGACAAACTGTGAGCATTACGCAAATGTTTATTTGCGGGCTCAAAAGCCACGGAGCCATAAAACAAAGTTTTCCTCAAATTATATATTGGACAAATCCCATAAATGTTCCGAGCTGAGCGCTAATTGAAAATGATTCTGGGCCACTTATTGCGGTAGTTAATTTTTGTGGGTCCCGTTAAATGTAAATAGCCGGTTAGTGGAAGATGAGAATATCGCAGCACTTAAATAGTCTCCTCAATTATATATATCTTCTTAAATTCAAGTTTCTTTTTTAAATTCTCACAATCTTTTTTATCTTGCCCCTTATTTTAACTTTTCATTTTAATTTTTGAAATTCCTTAAATGCAAAAGTAGTTTTTAAAAGGTCTAATTGGTCGAAAATATAACAATAACAAATAAATTCAATTTATAAAGAGTTACATTATTTATCCAGAATGAAATATTGTCATAATTCAGACAGCTGGCCACACAAAAAAAAAATATTAGAGGATAATAAGGACTGCATCAAAAGCGCCTGCGGCTTTCGAAGGAGCAGTAAAAGTGGCAGGAGGAGATGCAGCAGAAAGCCGCCATTTTTCTGGCTTGTTTGACAATTGTTGCGGTTCGAGGATGGAGCATGGAGCATGGAGAATGGAGCTCGGAACATGGCCGCCATTCATCGTCCGTTCGTGCGGAGCGCCAGCCGGAAGCAGCACCAGATGCTGAACGTGACCATGACAACGATTCCACCCATCCACTGCTCAAAAAAGAGAGTTCTAACTCGCAAATTTAATTATAGAAAGTGGAAATAGAAAAAAAAAAACTATGATTCCATTTAACACATATTTACTTTTCACAACACAATTAAATGTCTCTAAAAAGTTAATTAGCTAAAAAAATTTATTTTTTATTTTTTTATAACTTTATTAAAATCTTAAAATGTCCTTTATAATCATAGGTAATTTAAGAAAAAAACCATTCCTTATTCAAAAGTACCTCATTACTTTTTTTTTTATTTCGTTTGAGTTTCTTTCTGGAAGAATCTAAAAGAAATTAAAATTCATATCTCTTTCAGCAGAGTGTTAGCAATTTTCGCAGTGCAACCAGAGCCGCCGAACCACTAATGCTGTGCTAGTTGTTATGGCTGTTGTTCGACTCAAAGAGGCATGCAATGCAAGTTGTTATAGTTAGCTGACTCTTGTGGTGCGTGCAGTTCGCAAGTTTGCCGCTGCGAGATGGCCGTTCTTCAAGTTCCCAGACAGTGGACTCTGTCAAACGAATTGGTGGTGCAATTTCTCGAGATATATTGGGACATACACACCCATAATTTCCCCCAAATTTCCCCCACACCTCCGAAAGTTGAAAGGATTCCGTAAGACAAAGAAATCGTTTTTTGCTGCTTCCCTTTCTTTTTTTCGACTGCTTCCTTTTTAAGGTTCCTTTTCGTTTAATTGTTTTCGGCACGTTGAGTGTGAAAATGGAAATGTGTCTGAAAGGCGTTCGAGTTGTCAAGGGGTTAAGGGTTAGGGGCTAAGTCGCCGGGCGAAATCCGAGCTCGCTTCGGTGCATCGCCAGACTTCAGACTTTTGTCTTCTGCCGCTTTGATGGGGCGCGCCTAATTAGCAACGGGCCGAAACAAATTGCTTGTTAATTAAATAACGTAGAAACATGAAAAGGATTTCGCCTTTTTGTCGTTTCTTTCACGCAAACTGATTCAAGTGGCATCGAACCCATTGACAGGCACTGAAGTTTGCAGTAGAAAGGGAATAAAATCATTTTGAATCTCTGGCTAAACGATGGGAATCCGTCTTGAAAATCATTTATTGGCTGGTAATGGGAAAATTGAAAAAAAGGTAGAGCGCACTTAGGCTATATTTATTTTTAGGTATTTAGGGATGATTGATTGAACGAAGATATGCAAGTCAAGAAACAAGCTCAAAGAGACTTATTATTATAGGTTTCTGTTTTTTATTATGGATACTTACGGTAATTGCGCAAGCTTTAATTTAAGCATACGGAGTGTGAACAATATTTATGGATTTAAGCATACGCAGTTTGAACCATATTGGGATCCGCTGATACCCATTTTTTCTTGACAAAAGCGTTTCTAATTATATTCTCAGCAAGCCAAAACTTAAAGTTTCTGCCACTTGGCTGAAAAAGACACCAACGTCTGCGTTTGAGTGACCAACTTCGGCTGCCCCTTTTGGAAAATTAGAACTGCGAACCGATAAACTGCAATGCCCGCCTGCAAAACTGGCTTTCGAATGCGAATGCGCCATCGAGTGGCTTGGTGTTTTGGTCGTCGGGCGATGGCAATTTTATGTCAGCTGCAGTGCAATATGCAAAAGGAGGCGGTGGCCCGAAATTTCGTAAACGTCCATTGTCGCGGGTCATTAGAGACACGCGATGCCTGCAACTAGTGCGAGGAAATTGTGGACTCGAATCGGAAGAGGGGATTGTCTGCTGGCGGAGGGAAAAGCAAAAAGCAGACCGCAATTGATGGTCAGGAAAATGCGTAGGAAATGCTGAAGTAGGGGAAAACCAATTGTGGCCAAAAACGGCACATCAATCGAAGTTGTATATCAGCCAAAACTGAGGGCAAATGGAGTAGAGTTAATTATAACAAAAGAAGTTAAGTAAA